GGGGGGGGGGGGGGTGGCGACTGGACACGACCTCTAAATAGGATTCAAAACATATAATAGTTTTGTTTGTGGAAACGCTTCGCTTTCGATCCGTAAGCCCGGATCTTCATCAGTGCTAATAAAAAATTGCAGTATTAAATTTACGTGGTGTTTCCACAAACAAAACTATTATATGTTTTATCGCCATGCAAACATACAAAGAACTTATTAGGATTCAAAAACAGTTTGGAAAAAAAATACCAATTACTTCTTGTGTTTTTCAATTTATATATTTAAAACATCTTAAAATAAGATACTACAATATGTGGATTTCAAATAAATCCTTTTCTTGCTTTAAATATTAGCAAGCTCTTAAAATAAGATAATATAAGCTAGCTATTATAGTTGATTCAAAAATCCACCTTTAAAATCAGTAGTATAAAAACTAAAACCTATAGGAATTGTCTGTGTCTTTTAAATACGAGAAATATTAAACTATCTTGCAATCCTTCCTTCTGCCTTTTGTTGGTTTTTTTGATAAAGTTCTTTCAAGCATATGAGCTTGTAGCCTGTGGATCTGACCATATATCAGTTGGAAAGCTTCTTGGACATTTAAACCAGTCTAGAACAAAACAGAAATGGTTGTATGATGATTTCCTTTCTGGGACAACCCACACTTGGCGAGATTTTGAGATAAATACCAACAAATAAAATCAATTTTGTCAAAAACGGAAAAATATCTTTCTCTAGCTAGCCCAATGCCCAGTGTCTCCTTAAACAGTCGAACGTCTCCTCACAGACCACCTTTCTATTAATGAGGCTTCTTGCTTTGTGTAAGTACAGTACACGTTATAGATGGAGTGCACAAAATATCAAATATTCCAGTTCAAGTTTGAGATAAATAATTTACATAATGAATTTTGCATGGCACAGGAAAATCATTATTAGTGTTCTGAAGAATACACAAACAGAAATCGTATTATAGAGCAACAGCCACTTCCCGAATTTGCTTGAGTGCACACGAAACAATATAGCTTGGAATCGAAACGTAATCCACAATCAGGGCTTTCAGAATTATTCAGAGTAGGTGTCTGTTTTGATAAAGTATGTGGCTGTAGGGAAGGGACCGTCTAGATACATTGATTAGATAGCAACACAACACAAATTATGATGTATCACTACTTTCATTCTTCAACAAGATTTATTGTCAATTTTCAACGTCACTTTTCAACGCGCGGTTCCCAAGTTCGTTGCGAACTTGCCAATTATGTTTCCAAGTTCGGAAATTGGGCGCGAAATTTCATACTCAATAATAATAACCAATTCAATGAAATACAAACCTTTTGGTAGCCAACTCGACCAAGAACTTTCCATTGAATTGTTAATTTCAACTTGAACTATATGAACATTTGTTTACAATAGTTCAAACATTGAAACGTAGTTGCGATCTTTGTTGCAAAGTTCACGCCCAATATTTGAACTTGGAAACAGAATCGACAAGTTTCCAACAAACTTGGCAACCGCGCGTTGAAAAGTGACACGAAATCGACAATAAGGTGGCAAATAACTAAATCAGTTTAACGAAATAGTACGTCGTTTTCGAAAATAATCAGACTTTAAAGTATAGACTGAGTTGAGGAAAAATAACTTTGTTTGAAAGCTTAGAATGGAGGAAGGAGAGCAGAATTAATGTTTCAAATACTAAACAAAGTAACCGGCGGTAAACCTCGTGCCACCCGCCGGAGCTCCGGCGGCCGCCGGGTTATTTTGAAAGCCCTGCCACAATACATTGTGAATAAGAGGTTTTCATTGCCAGCCAGCAAATTCGTCAGCAAAGCTACGTTTAGAGATAATAGTATTATATTTTGCTACAATAAGCTGTTGATTAGAAATTCTTAAACAATATCAGCCCAAAATCTCTTACGTTTCAAGGACATATCCATCAGGAACAGGATTTCGCTTTTAAAATTCAAGAGCTCTCTTCTAGAGAACCGTGGGAACCCTGTGAAATTTCGAAGTGTTTTTCCAATTATATACATAGCGTTTATGTGTTATATACGACCATGTACCTGCCTCGTCCCCAGGCGCTAATTAAAAATTTCATGCGAGTCACTATATGAAAGATTTACATGAAGTAGTGCATCGCGATGAACAAGCGCAGGGGGTTACATCCCACTCCCCTTTGCGCGCCTAGAATGTGACGCACTACTTCATGTAAACTTTTCATATAGTGACTCGCATGAAATTTTTTTTATTAGCGCCTGGGGACGAGGCAGACCATGTACAGTATACTGATCTCAAATCAATAGTTTACAGTAAATCCTCTATGAAGCTGAAGAAAGAAATTTATTAGGCCACCCCCTGTCTGCGGATGCCCGACAAAGTTCATTCCTATTGATGTTATATATTTATTTACTGTTGCCCTGGAAGTTCGCATCAATTTACGGCAGAATCAGTAAGACCCGTTTCGTGTGAATTCGGTACGGCAGTTGGATTCTAACGGCATATTCTATTCCGGTGAACTAACAGTAATTTGTCTGGGGTGGTTGGGTTAAAACATAATGTTTTTTTGAAAAACTAACCATTTTAATTATCAATTAGTTATGCATTTAATTCGGCACATGTAAAGTTCGCCGTCTGAATGTCGTCCGAACTTTTGCCGTACTGTACCTACAGTAATTCTTGAATTGAATTCACCACATGTGAAGTACGGCGTATGAAACGAGTCTAAGCAACCCCATTTACGCTATTCAAAAAATAAATAAGTGATAACAATAATAAAGTAAATTAGTAAATAAACTACGGCAGCTATTTATTTTTCATTACTCACCTTAGCGGATGTTTCAATATAGGGAATAGAGAAGGAATTGCAATATTCCAGAATTTCGTCACTTTCGACCTCTCGCTCGTCTTCTAAATCCTAAATAACATCAACAGAGGCGTGAGAAAAATTGACGTTACGACTCAATGGCAATGACGCGCAAGAATGACGTCAAGTTCTCTAGTGAATGTAATGTATCACGCATGACGTTATGTTGAAAATGCGCGGTAAAAATACATAATAGGCACAAAGTATCAAACCTGTCTCGTACGCAGGCGCCTCTTTGTAAAAAAACAGTGATGCGCATATGACGAGTTTACATGAAGTATTGCAGTGGGGAGAGATGGGCGAAGGGGCTGATGGGAAGAGTGCACTTGAAATGCGAGACCCTTCCCAACAGCCCCTTCGTGCGTCGCCTGCCTACCTGAATACTTCATGTATTGTAATTATTTAAAGCGCCTGGGTACGAGGCAGGTATCAAACAGTTTCACAAAAGAATCAGGGTGTGACAAGTGATTAAAGGTATGAAACTGGATTTCTATTCTGTTGCTAGTCCCAGTCCTTTTGCTCACCGTCAGTCCGTCAGATCACCTGGAGCTTAAGCAAGCGACATTTTTGCCAACACGGACGTCACCCGGAAATTGGTAGAACTAATTTTGGCGGCATTTCGCATCATAGCGCTCGTGCAAGGAAGCAAAAAACTTTAAAAATCTTATGTTTTGTCAGATGTGTTGAAGATTACCGAAAACTGACACAAACACAGTTTTTAATCCAGTCCTCCCTCGGCAATCTGACGCTGCCTCCTCCGCAAGCCCTCGTTGTGTCATGGGAAGGTCACGATTTCGAGAGGGCCTGTGGAATCCTGTAAAATGAATAAATGGTAAAAGCGAAAGAAATTTTAAAAACAAAACTGATAAAAAATATTTTACACGTAAACACTTATTACTTTTACTGTTTTTCATTTTCGTTGGGCCATTTTAATTTACAAGTTTCACGCCGCTTATTTATATCCTGTTTGTTTTCAAGATTATGTATAAATTTATTTGCTGACGTGACGCCGGCGCCATTTTTTTACAAAATTCCGCAGGCCCTCGCCAGATTGTGTGTGACCTTCCCATGACGCAACGAGGGCCTGCGGAGGAGGCAGAATCTGACGTCAAGTGTTGATTATTTTCCTATTAGTTCCTACTGTCTTAAAGAATTCCCAATGATTGTTTAATTAATATAAATCTAATTTTGTAAGCGTATTTGCTTGCCGAATTGAATCGAAAACAAATTTCGACAATGTAATTGATGAGTGAAAATTTGCGCGCAGCGGAGAATTGGGGTCGGTTCCTATTTCTCTGCGACGAATTTTTCGCTAACTATTAATCGTATTGCATCAATTTTTCTCTCGATTCAATTGGCGCAAACAAATTTGCCTAGTGGAAAACCGCGGCTTAAGAAAATCTCTACCATTTTCACCATTTCCCTCAACAACACAACATTCTCTAACGGCTGACGTGCGATGCATTATTCTGTATGTAGAGATCTTCAATATATACAGTACACAGTACACTGAATAAAAAATGCTGCAAAGCATTTTGAGCAACGGTTTGTACTACATAACAAAATCTAACTATTGTGGCAGTGGTGTAACTTAGCGCTTGCCCAGGTAAAAAACATTACGGGCAAGTAGAAGTTGCTGTTCTTAGAACCTAAGTGCTGCACTAAAATTGTTTGCTTGTTTATGGTACTGTATGCATTTTTCTGACATTGCTTTTTTGTGGTATGCATTTTGTTTTGTATTTTTTTAGTAAATAAATAAAGCAGCTGAAATCAACACTTTACTGTAAGTCTTCAATTGGATTTGTTAAGGAAAACATGATATTCGAATGGTGCTTAATGAATCCTTAATGCAATCATTTGCTTCAAATGTTGTTAATATGTGCGGGCAAAACTAGACAACTGTAGATGACAAGTGAACTTTATTCCGGGAAACCAATTTTCACGTTGAACTTGCTCTGATGGCAAGTTGTAAAAATAGTTATACCACTGTGGTACATGTACATGTATTGTAATCTACAGTACCAGCGCATGAAAAGAGTAAAATTAACTATTAACTTCAGTATAGGCAATTCCAGCTTTTAGTTTATGTGTGCAGGGGGCGATGGGAAGTAAGGTATCATATTGCTGATTATGCTGAAAAAATAAAAATGGCGACGGCGTGTGGACACGGAGTGACAGCTTATACTTGTAAATATTGGAATATTTCGGTTGTTTCGGCAGTTTTATTGAACATTTTCAGCATAATCAGCCATATGATACCTTACTTCCCATCATCCCCTGCGCGCATAATTTAAAAGCTGGAATTGATGATTCCCCTTATTACGTTTTCGCGGCGCTTTGCATTGTGGTTATAGTGGTATCACTGATAAAGATAGCGGCCTCGAATGAAAATATTGAATGTTTTCGCGAATATTTTGTTGTTAGCTATCGCGCACCTGACACTAGCTTTTTTTAAAAGTTTTTGTACGGGTCAGGACAAAAAAAAAAGTCACCTTGAATATCAGTGATACCACTACAACCACAATGCAAAGCGCTACGAAAACATAATAAGGAGAATCTAGTATTGCCTATTAAGGGGCTGATTACATGGAGCGATTTCAGCCCAGCTATCCAGGCTGAAAATTCAGCCAGGCTTTAACAATAAATCCCAATAAAATCCCGCGCGCGATTACATGACAAGAATTTCAGCCCGGGCTGAAAACTCAGCCCGGGCTGAAATTCTTCCCACGATGTTTGTGGTGTTACTCTGAGTGTGCATCCACACTGGACAAGCTGAAACGTTTGCCTGACCACGGTGGGAAACGAACCCGCGACATTTGGGATATTAGTCCAATGCTCTACCAACTGAGCTACGAGGGTTCAATTCCCACCATGGTCAGGCAAACTTTTCAGTTTGCCTGGTGTGGATGCACACTCCGAGTAACACCACAAAAATCATATTCACCTGAGTACATAACACCAACACACACAAAAATATCATTCTTCCCATTTATTATATGGCAAGCATCACTTCCGGTTAAATGGCGGACTGTGATTGGCTGAGAAGCACTTTCAGCGCTCCATTATTTTCCCGTAATGGAGCGGCGGTCCATTACGTATTACGTAAAAACAAACGCATGCATTTTAAAACAAAACGGCAAAACTAATTGAAAATTATAATTTAATTTGTTAATAAGATATCTGCGAATGGTTTTTAGTGGAAAAGAACGAATACATTGGTACTTTTTGTTTTCTTCTACCAAATGTGTACCACGCTACTAATATGCATTTCAAATCATGCAATTCTTGTTTGTTTCAAGTATAAATGCCATATAATATTATTAACCTCGCATGCTCGGTATGTACAGAGAAATATCGGACCTCAGTCTTTTTGTACAAACCTCGCCCTACGGGCTCGGTTTGTACAAGAAAGACCCCGGTCCGATATTTCTCTGAAGTTCTGAACAGACCTCGCGTTCGGTTAATAAGAAGTTAGTAATCACTTCAGCCCGGGCTGAAACTCCTTACACGCATGCGTTGTAGTGTTTTTATCAAATTTCGATAAATTTACATGCGATAAATTTACCCGGGCTGAATCAAATTGAAATTGCCCATGTAATTATGAAAATCAAACTCAGACCAGGATGAAATCGCTCCATGTAATCAGCCCCTAAAATCTCCAGAGGTAGTAAAGGCTGTCTCACCCGTTTATTGCCAACAATAACCATTGGAATACTGGGCTGCTCTTTATCTTCGATAATTTTACTTCGTAGTTCTTTCATTTCAAGCCAGCTTGCTTGAGAGTTGATTGCAAACAATATAAGAAAAGCATCTCCCGTAGCGAGGGAGGAGTCACGGAATGACGAGAATTCCTCTTGCCCTGCGGTGTCAACTATTTCAATGTCGTATAAACGACCAGCATATTCAATCTAAAGAAATAAAAAGACAATTTGTAAGTTTCTAGGATTTTAGGAGTGTTTAGATTTTGGAAGTGTTTCTAAATTTCCATGGTGTGTACATGTCAATTACCCAAAATAGCCGGAAATATGGTTCTAGTTATGCTCGCCAACAATAGTCTTTATATAATAACTACAGTGAAACAAGCAATCTGATTGGTCAATACCATAGTCATGGGCGGATTTACTGGTGTTCAACCCCACCAAAATTTTGCTTCACCCCTCCTATTTTGTTTGAAAGTCTTTAACCTTAACGCCTAACCCCTATCGAAGCTCGCTCAGTGGTGCCGTTTGCACCCCACCAGAAATTTTTCTACCCCTCCTTTAAAAAAAAATGAAAATCCGCCCTTGTCCTGCACGGAAAACTTAAATGCCTTCTTCGGGGTTTTCAATATGTCGGACAACGAAAACATTTCAATGCGTGAAATAAACAATATCAGTATATTAAACGAGCGGCAAGGTTACCAAAACAGTGAACAAAGGTTTACAATAACTACAGACTGAGAGTGAATTAACCTCACCATTGTTTCACTGTAGTTATTTTATAAAACAATTACCGAATGGTTTTTCTTGCAGCATTGCGTGATCCATGTATGCACTTAATTGGGATGTTTCTCGACTTTCGGAAAGCGTAAAAAAGCTCTCGCCTGACGGCTTGAGCTTTTTCCATCCCGCGTGCATGGATCACGCAATCCTGCACGGAAAACCATTCGGTATTCCTTTAATGCCTGTTCAACATTGCATGCTTTACAACCAAATACTGGAGAAGGCGAGCACACGCTCATATTCCGCACTGACATTACAACACGATATTTTAGCAACTCTTGGGGGCATTTAAAGGTACCGACGGTACCATTACCATGTACTGTACATCAAAACATACAGTAAAAAACATCACGGATCACTTTTACCAATTTGCAACAAACATTAATTTTGTAACATACACTGTACCAGCCTCGTACCCAGGCGCAAATAACGTACTAAAAAACAGCAACACTACAGTTTTTTATATAGATCAGTGGCTGAGCGAGCGCGCGGGGGTGCTTGGGTAGTAACTATACGGCTTTACATACTAATAATGAAACTGTGTTTGTTTTATCTTGCCGTGGAAACACGGCCTCCTAGCTAAGACCCTGGTAAGTTCATGATTTTTCAATCAAAAGTTCCATTTTACATGCATGTATGAGAACTTAAGGTGGCTTAGGTTTTTTAAATTATGGTAAATTTTACGATTTAGATCCGTATTTTAAACAGTTATTACTATCTTACATTCTTACTTATATAAAATAACATCTAATGAGTTAACATCAAAACCAACTAACTGCTGTTGCCATGGTAACAATGACATTTCAATATGGAGGATATGTTGGCATCATACTGTATTACTAACCTCTTTTTGGTACGTTTCCTCTAGAAAATTAAAAAGATAAAAAAACATAAGATGAATTTAGTTGCTCCACACTATCCACAAGGGGAATCTAAGAATATGAATTCTGTACTCAAATTTCCAAGACAGCCGACTGTAGGAATTATTATCAATAGTCCAATACCCATATGAACAGGTCACTTGTCAGGGTTTGTACAGCTTATTCGATTTAAAATTACATGACTTTTCAATGACTCTCCACAACCATTTTTTCAAAAATCCATGACCTGGCCAAGGCCAAATATCCAGTGGAAACACTAGTCAAGCATTGCAGATATAGAAACTCACCATTCACAATTTTCTCACAAAATAAATAAATGCAATTTATGTTTTTGGTATGACTGGTAAACAGGAAATAAGGAAAGAACTTTGTTACTGTAAAATTTCAATTTTCCAGAAGTAAAACAGATTTTCCAGGATTTTCAGGCCTGGGTTTTGAAATATTGAAATTCCATGACTTCATTTCCAGATTCTCATGACCTATACGAACCCTGACAAGTGATTGACCAGGGCAAGTTTGTGTTCAGTTTCGAATTCATCTTGTGTGAACATACATGTAGTCTTAATTCTTCTCCTTTCTTAGATTTTATTAATATTTCCTGCATTTTTTTCAAAAAATGTCAGTGGAAAATTAACAATTGGCAGCAAACTACATTCTGCAAGGATTTTTTGAATTTTCTAAATTCCCAAGGCAAGGTTGTTTTTTGTGTCAACATTGTGGAAAGAAGGTAATAGTGAGTTTAGTGAGTGTTTCTTACAGCAAACACAACAATTAATTACAAGATTCCACCATTAATAGACTGATTATAATAGACCATTATACAACCCCCTTCACCTACTTGACATAAAGCTTTCCATTGTCACATATCTATTTGGCCCATGGTGCAAGGAATATAACCATGCATTTAGCCATGGAATAGATCTGTGACAAAAACTTAACTTGACAGATACAGTATATTAATTAATGTATTGGTACTTACCAAGTGTGGGATCATAATACTGAAATATAGAAAAAATAAATTACAACAAAGTAAGTGGGAATGTAATGTCACATCCTTTACCAAAAAAGTCTACAGTATAGGCCTGGCCTGATAGGAAACCTATAGGTTTTTATAGGCAATTGGAACATTTTCTATAGGTGACCTATATAGGGATGCCAATAAGCCTATAGAGCTCTATAAGCTGGTGTGGCCTTAAAAGGCTTCTATAGGGAATTGGAACATTTCCTATACATGTAGGCACCAATAGGCCACCTCTAGACTTTTTTCATAAGGAATAATTATATTAATGGCATGCTAACAATTCATGTACCGGTATAGCATATAGCAGTGTTGTTTAACCCATTGGGCGCCGCAATGCACCCTACTTATTTTTTTTACTTGTCTAACACCAGACGATTTTACTCATCAATGGGAAAGCTCTGCATCTTAATGGTTAATAGCAAATGATCAAATAGGCATCCTGTCTGTACGTAACAAGCTCATGAGCATGTTAACCCATTAAGTTGCACTGTGCCCTACTTTATTATTTCACTCCATCTAACACCAACCTCAAACTGCCTCAGCCTATAAGGACTTGGTTAACTCTGAAAATGTCAATGGTAAAACCAGATTCATTGCTTGGCTTGGTCACATGTATGAGTCAAGCCAAGGTTGAATCACAAATTGAGTCAAGTCACTCAGAATTTGCGTAAAGTCAACGGCTCATTTTGAGTCAACTTAGTTAACAACAGCTGAACTTGATTTGAGTGAAGTAATAAGACATGGGCCTGAGGGAAGTAAATTTTGCATAAGAATTCAATCTCATCCCTACACAAAATAATAGAGATAGATATATATGTGGATGACTGGATTCAGAGTACGTAAATATCTGATTATGACAGACCAGAAACGTTAGACGCAGAGACGTTAGATGTGGAGACGTTAGTCTCCAATTGTCTAAAACCAATTGTCGAGAAAATATGCACTTTAAAAATTATATGCACTGCACATTGATACACGTTGCGTTCTAATGCAATATGTTAAATTAATGTGTGAAGTAGGCCGGTGCACCGGAACCAGTTTTTTAAGTTCCAGCCGGAACCGGATCCGACCGGAACTGGAAAAAAGTTCCGGCCGGAACCGGAACTAATTTATTAAGCCATATATAGTCATATGTTACTTTGTCCGCTGCCAGACAGGCAGACACTTCAAGTCATCAAGGAGAGAGCTTGCAAATGTTAGAATAAAAAGATTGACAAGCGTTAAACGTCATAATGAAGTGTTATTAATAGTGTACATTTCCCTTGCATAGTCCAAATTTCTTCCTACTGTGACCTTTTGTTAGACACAAAAATGTTTGATATTCTATCTCTCTGAAAACGACAGTGAGAGTTCCAGTTCCGGCCATGCTTTTTTTACTAGTTCCGGCCGAAACCGGAACTCTAAAAAATCGGGTTTGCGGCCAGAACTAACCGGCCGGAATTGAGTTCCGGTGCACCCCTAGTGTGAAGCATGCTATTAATTAACAGTTTTAACAATCTTTGGTTGCAGTAACATGTTACGTTGGAAATAATCGTTAATGACATGACGTCGCCTTTATTCGATCGACTGATATTATGACATCATTATAAAATCGGTATCAGGTAGATTGTGGCATCGATAATTGGTAATTTTGAATTGTTGCACAATCGGTCAATTTCACTAGTTATCGATACTGTAACTGTATGCCGAAGATACACCAATATTTCCTATAAATGTGACCCTAGTCTTTCGTGACAATAATGGTCGGAATTGAGAAGTATTTCTGGCCTTGCATCTTACTTTCCAAGCATAATATTGCTGATAAATTTATTGTGAACAAGCTGTAGCTGAGTTGACTCAGTCACTTGGCAGCGTGTAGAGTCTGAGTCAGTTCAATGACTCAACTCATTACAACACTACTCGGCTACATGAGGGGGACATTGGGGGTATTCAATACCGTAATACCACAAGCAAATTTTGTCAATAGCCCCTGTTTTTGAGTCCAAAATTGCAAATACCGTGTACCGCAAGATTTCCAATATCATAATACCGCAATTTTTCAAGGAAAATACCAAAATACCGTAAGAAAAATAAGCTAATACTGCCATACCGTAAATCCCAATGTCCCCCCTCCTACATGGCTAACCTCAACACCCCATATTGTGGTTGTGAACATAAATTCTTAAATAGATATACCTCTGTAAACTCATCTCTCAAATATCGTATAGTTAGGGAGCTTTTGCCAACTCCACCGCTTCCAGCGACACAAAGTCGCAACATTGGGTACTTTACATCCAGTTTATATCCAGCCTATATCCTTGACTTCAATATTTGATAATTTTTTCTATCTTGAATATACTACAGACAAAAACAACAAAAGCAATTATTTATTATGTAATGTCAATTAAGGTTTTTAACTTTCCTGGTTTGGCTCCAGTTGACTGATCAAGAAGTACTTTTCTTTTAACAAGTAGTAGACAAGTTTCTTAACAGTTTCTCATATTACTGCAATTAAGAATACTTAGAGCTGCAGTCTCTATAAACAGTGGCAGTGCATGCTCGACTCTGTTCCTTGCCCTGTTCCATTTGAACTGAATTCTTCACATTTGTTGTTCAATATCATCAAACGTTTAACTTTTAAAAGTTGAAAAGTTCAAGTATTAATTGTTTAACCAAACTCAATACTTCAGAATAAAAAACTAAGCGGTAGAACCATGAAATTTGCAATTTAAAACATCACTTGAACTGCATTTGCCCATGGCCATGTTAATATTATGTAGCCGGATATTAAACTTTCTAATATTTAACGACTGAATAAATCTGTAAAATCTAGCATCAGATTTCGACATTCAGGAAGGCTGATAACAGATTAGTCTAAAGATTAAATTAACTCATTGTATCATCAAATTTTGACATTTACCATATGAATTTGTTATATTTGCAAAGGAAGGTCAAAGCGTTTTACTAATTCATGCAGAGCTCACCTTTTGAAATTGGCTTTATAACTGTTAATAAATATTAAATCCCTAAAAAATCCAATTTAGTATTATAATGATAAAAATTCCACTGGATAAATTATATTAAAAACTTCTTATTTCAACAAAAATATCACATATATTCTCCATTCGATATATTTCCATTCGAATAGTTAATACTGAACCAGGCCTTTTGACCCGCGTGTATTGCAGGAATAAACAAAATGGTCTAAGCCAATCAAAAACGTCAATAAACAAAAGACCTCCTAATGTCTTATAATTATTATTATTATTGATCTTTAAACACGGTAACCTTTCACATAGGTGATTCTCAAAGGCAGACATTCCAACTCTCCCGATTTTACCGGGAGTCTCCCGAAAATTCATGCAATCTGATCCCGGTCTCCCGATTTTTATCAAATTCTCCCGATTTTTTCAGAATATTCAGGAAATATCATAAAAAATTATAAATATACTGTTTTTAGCAACATAATAGTCTGTCTTGACCTTTTTTGAAGTTGCTTTATGGCAATTTATAGGACACTTATAACAACATAGTCCCAAAATGCAGGAAACGCCATTTCAGGAGACTTAATTTTTATTATTTTTCCCCAGAAGAACTAGATTTCAATTCACTGAACAGTCTCCCTAAATTTTACCTCTAGTGGTTGGAATGTCTGCAAAGGGCCGTGCGGATCAGTGCTTATAATCAGCTGGTTCTCTAAATCACTGCTCAAATATCAACCTCGTACCCAGGGTCTTTCCTTTTGGGGAGCAAAGACCATAGCAAAGACCCTGGTCACGTGATCTGCTAAAATCTAGCAGATTTCTAATTAACTAGCTAAATAAAAATCTGCAAGATTTTAGCAGATCACGTGACCAGCGTCAACCTAGGGTCTTTGCTCCCCAAGAGGAAAGACCCTGGGTACGAGGATGCTCAAATATATGGTTCTATAACAAACGTACTTGCAGGGAGGTGCGTTGGGGGGGAGGGGGGGTCAATACAGGACGCACCGAATCTGCAAGTACTGATCTTTTTTGTTGTTTTGGGACGCCCGCTCTTTGCGATATATTCGTCGATGTATTCAATAGTCAACATTTTCTCGGCCAAAAAATCGGTTGGGCTCTAATTAATATTTCTTTATCTACATCTAAATTGCCTTCATTCTATTTTTTTCTTTGGCTTTTCTTTAGTCTCAGTAGGTTAGTTATCCAAAAAGATCTTTAAAGTTTAGGTTTATCAGCTAAATTTTGCCATCTAGATACTGGCAATTAATACAATTATGAATACTCACTGCTTTATAAAGAAGCGTGAGAAATGAATGAAGTGAGAGGGCGGGGAGTGATGGGACGATTGAAACAAACGCGTGGGTGTGAGAACGGCAATTGCTAGATAGTATACTTCAAAATAAGGTTTCCGTTTTTATATCAATTTTTAAAATAAGTTAGGGTTAAGTAACTTAGGTTAGGGTTGGGGTTAGGGTTTAGTTTTGCCGGTTAGGATAGTTTTTTCTACGTTATTAAAACGGAAACCTTATTTTGAAGTATACTATCTAGCAATCACCATGTGAGAACTCCATTTCTCCAGATATTGGAACCTATCCATATTAAGGTATTTCATAGATGATAGATTATGCACAAATATATCTCTTCACTCCAAGAAATGACGGTATTTAAATTTAGGCCCCGTAGGGTGGTCTAGGGTATCCACTATCCAGCTTCAATATTTTTGCTTGAGTGTGCTTCGTTTGACAGTAGGTCATTAAAACTACCGTTGTTGTTCCAGTTTTCCCTAATATCTTCAGAATATTATTATTACTAAAAAAGCTATTATTATTATTTTTAATCACCGCCAATCGAATATGTTATTATTTTCCTTCCTATATCCAAGTTCGTGTTTTGCCGACTGGGATTCAATATTTTGCCTACCTGATGACACGTCGGGTTTTTATCCCATGAGCTGCACCCCCTCCCCCCTCCCCCACCTATTGTTTTCAATGATAACATTGCCCATGTACAATGCCATTTCTACACACAATGCATTTGGCGGTTCATGTACACGTATAATTTTCTGAATGACTTCACGTACATGCACCTCGACGTGCACTGTGCACAGACGTGTACACATCTTTAGCAATATTAATACATGCCGAACATTTTAGCCATTTTAGTCAAAGAACTAACTAAATATAACCACGCCACTCTACATTCAAGGAAATGTCTGAATATTGTCAGTCAATTTTAGAAACATTTCAAGCATTACACGGTGATATATGCAGCACTAATTTCAATTAAATTTTTGTGACGCCAAATTCTCAGCTACAGAGTTAAAAAACCCCGGCATAACAAAGCAGTCAACGATGAACAACATTTACCGCAAAAAACTTGTCGTGGCAAACGCTGGTTTGTAAAACAATACCATTTTCAGTTTCAATATCTTATAGGTACCGCTGAGTGCGGAAAAAATATATAGGGAAATTCAGTCGCAATTACTGATTTTGCACTCTATGGCAAAAATGTTGGCAGGCAAAAATGCGGCCGTTAGTCCCAACAAATCAGGAACGACATTGTGAAAGGACGCAGTTTGTACAGTTTTTGAACTACTTTATTCAGAAAATTGTAATGGAGTCTCCATTATGGTGCGTGGCAATAAATTTGTATTCCCACAGCGAATAGTGATTCCACAGACACCTATACACGTGCTAACACAACGTTCCCTCCTGAAACCCCTCCGAGTTATCATGCAAATATACCAGTACTAGTAGGAACGGGGAAAACAAGAATCCCTATTCGCATCAAGCTTGAACTGAGAAATGTACAATGAAAATTCAACACGGAGTTTCATATTTACGAGCAGTTCGGAATGCGCTTGATGGTAAAGTTCAGTTCGGTGCAAAGTGTGGAAAATGAAGTCAATAGAACAGTTACATTTGGAAATGCATGTACACAACGATACGCGTGATAACATTGCCGAGATCCTGATACGATATGAACTAACCAAAATCCGCTTTCTCAACAGTGCTAGAATGTTAGAATATATGAAACCTTCATTTCTAACCATCTAGATACTTATACTAAAACGAAATTTGATGAATACTCACTGCTTTGAACTCCTTTCTCCTCCGCAGAGCCACCTTAAGTATTTACAAATAACTACATTAGTCGGTTCTTGTAATGGAGTGAAGTGAGCGCAAGGGGAGTGATTGCAAGATTGAAACAAACGCCTACCACTGGGTGACACCGTGACAGAACTCTCTTCAGATATGATACACAATGCACAAATAAATCTCTTCACTCATTCCTATATCCAAGAATGTCCGTTTTAAACTCATTAGTACCCGTACGTGCAATATCTTGACGAATTACTTTTTCGTGCATTAATTCACTAGCTCCTAATAATATTTCAGTTTCACTTTGCCTCCTCGGTCGGACGATGTCATGAGCAGGCTACCATCAGTATTTCTTTCACTATCTGCGCTCAAGATACTTGTCGCGTCTTGACATGTTTGCGTTGTACACGAGACGTGAAAATCTCTGGTTTGCCGTTGTAAAAAGCCCTAACACAGCGTCTCTAACTCCCGTGGGGCTTTTTATTAGTTATTTCTTTTGTCACGAGATCAGGAATATCATTGACATTGTGTGAATAGCCGTCGTCGTCGCGTTGCTATCCTGTTTGCTTAAGGAATAAGGTCCTTGTATTTGGGGAGTGTCCCTATATGTCGTGTGTCGTGTGTCGTGGGTTAAAAGTCGTGTGTCGTGGGTAAAGTCGTGGGTAAAGTCGTGGGTCATAAAATGTGCTAAAAACGCATTTTTTCACGAAAATATTATTTTTATTTTTAATATTTTTTTCGTACTTTTTCCTTTTATGCGCAAAATTAAAAATTAGGAAAATTTAACGCAACAAATCTCCAGTAATAAAATGTGTACGTTATCTGTAGTATAACAAGTAAATGTTTCCATTTTGTATAGTCTAATAGTAATAAGACTATCGATGTATCAGTTTGATGATAAAATGTCTTAAAGGTGATGTAAAGTCCGTAATGTAAACAAACACTTTGTTTACATTTTGAACTCACTGCTACAGTTGTAAAATATGATTAGATATATATTATACTGAATTTTTAACACTTTTCTGGTTCGTTATGCTTGTAAATGAATACAGACTAGAGATTCAATTCAAGAAAGTTCGGAAAGAGCGAAATATTAACAACATTCCAAAGGTTGCTCGGTTGCTCCCCCACTGATGGAATGTTTTGATGCGCAGAATATATGCGCAGAACGGACTTTACCGCATCTTTAAGTTATAGGATATAGGTTTATTAGCTTTCGAAGTATTATGGTCCTATCACGAATAACCTGAAGTTCAGGCCCTAATTTGAAATAGGGCCTGACACAAAACCTGTCTAGACCGTGGGACGCCCACATGTTATTTTTAGACACAACATGCAATATGATTGACAAGTGTTATAGATTTCGTTACACAAAAAAATTATATTCTCATGAACATGTCCGCAGAGTGTGCATTTTGCTTTATAATTAAACTTAAAAATCCAAGGTACTTTTATATAAATAAGATTCAGACAAAGATTTAATTAGTCAGTTCTGTGCACGGCTAGACTGCCAAGCTTTCTCAAGGTCTCAACTTGCTGGACGCGGATATTAGGGATATACTTTATTATTAAAACGGGCTAACAACAGCAACAATGAAATTCTCAATCGTACCACGAAGAAGGCGATGTAGCTCAGAAAACAACGCCGGTAGGACCTGATATTAAAAATAAGACTTTTGCCGGCGAAGCCAGTTGGCAAAACATCTTGGCTGTCAACAACAAGCTTTCGAATACATGACTAGTTTGGCTGTTCTTTCGGCGTCGTGTGTCCAAAATTCGTCCAAGATTTTGATAAAGCCCTTTCAAAATACTGTTTGTTTGATTTATTTTCTGCCATAAAGCATAAAAGAAAAAGAAATTCGAAGAAATCGATAATGGAATTTGTACGTGCGTTTGACCTTTATATTAATTGTCGCCTTGACCGAGCTATTTTTAAAACTGTTGTTTATGTAAACTTGCAACCAATCAAAATCCTTCATGATGCTGATCAACCAATCTCACACTTTAGATAGGTTTTGTGTCAGGCCCTATTCTGTGATTAGGGCCTGAACTTCAGGTTATATCACGAACGTCGCGAATAACTATGTCGATTGCACATCATGTCTGATACAAAGCTATAAATTGTACGCTGTAATTAATAAGTGGCTAACGCTCGAGCCACAAATTTTCCCATTTTATCTCCTACTGAGTATATGCCGGTTCGTGGCCTTTAAAGATAGACACTGAACATTTCATGTGTATGTGGCTTTAGGAAATATTCCATAAATTGCTACGATTTGGGATGATTTCCCGATTGAAAACCGAAATGATTTGTGCGATGTCGGGCTATTTGCCGACAAAGCGCGCTAGCCGCTGTTATTTTGACAGAATATGATTATATGATATAGGCCTACCTCTACACTTTTCAGCCGTAATACATATAAATGCGCGCATTGTAATCATATACGTATCGTTTAATTTAGCTTCAAAAACTTGATAAAAAAACATGTTATTCGTGTTGGTTCCGGAGCGCAATGCCAATGGTGTGATCGTTGCCAGAGCACATGCAAAGCCGCCTCGGTAGCCTACATACATATATCATGTATGCAACTCCGGCGGAAATCTTGCTTATTTCAGTCTAATAAAGTCAACTTTTTTTCTTTGATAATGTGCGCAACATGCTGCGCATTTTACATTTAACAAAATACAGCAATTTTGATTTTATCAAGTTTTTGAAGCCGTAAATTAAAAATAAAAGCGGCTAGCACGCTCGGTCGGCACATAGCCCAACATCGCA